CTATCCATCTTCTATCCGCCTCCCACTCCCTCCCTATTTATTTCAGATCCCCCTTCCCCTCCCCCATTTCTGAAGAAGGGTCTAGACCCGAAACGTCAGCTTTCCTGCTCCTATGATGCTGCTTGGTCTGCTGTGTTCATCCAACTCTACACCTTGTCCTCTCAGTATCCTGTAAGTTTCAATCAGATCTCTCCTCATCCTTCTAAACTCCACTGAGCACAGACCCAGAGCCCTCAACCACTCCTCATATGACAAGCCCTTCACCCCCAGGATCATTCTTGTAAATCTCCTCAGGAAACCCTCCAAGGCCAGTGTCTCATTCCATAGTTTATACTGTTCTCACACATGGGCTGAGATTCTCACTGGGCAGTGTTGAGTTACTAGTTAAGGGCGGATACTGCCTGTGAAACGTTTTGTTAAGTGGCCATCCTTTATTTTTAATTTGCTCGTGGGATGTGGGTGTCATGGGCTGGGCCCAGCATTTATTTCCCTCCCCCATCCCTAGTTGCCCCACCTTGAGAAGGTGGGGGGGAGCTTCCTTCTTGAACCACTGCAGTCCATGTGCTGTAGGTTGACCCACAATGTCCCCTTAGGGAGGGAATTCCAGGGATTCTGACCCAGCGACACTGAAGGAACGGCGATACATTTCCAAGTCAGGATGGGGAGGGGCTCGGAGAGGAACTTGCAGGGGGTAGGGGTCCCATGTATCTGCTGCCCCTTGTCCTTCTGGATGGAAGTGGCCGTGGCTTTGGAAGGTGCTGCCTGAGGATCTTTGGTGCCTCATTGATGCTGAGCCTTGTATCTGAGCGATGTGCCCAAACGAGCTGGCCCACCCTGGGGCACTAGCCGTGGAGATCGGAGTGGGTACTTGGCAAATCCAGCTGGCTGCCTGCTCAGCCGGGACATTGGGTATCAAACATCTCAAGGCACTCTCCGGCAACATTCCCAGACATTGGCGTCCAATATGTGCCAACCTCTGAAAACATCCACGGCTCGTTCGTGGTAACACTCTCGTTTCAAGCCACCTCCGCGTTGGACACCAGGAATCAGTATCTCAGGGCACTGTCTGTGGACATCAAGCAGACACTCCCCCCAATTCACAGGACTTATACACTTCATGGGAAGGTCCTGGGGAGTGTTGCTGAACAAAGAGACCTTGGAGTGCAGGTTCATAGTTCCTTGAAAGTGGAGTCGCAGGTAGACAGGGCGGTGAAGGAGGCATTTGGCACACTTGCCTTCATTGGTCAAGTCATTGGGTATAGGAGTTGGGAGGGTCATGTAGAAGACATTGGTGAGGTCACTTTTAAAAAAAACTGCATAGAAATCTGGTTGCCCTGCTATAGGAAGGGTGTTATTACACTGGAAAAAGTGCAAGAAAGATTTACAAGGATGTTACGGAGACTGGAAGGTTTGGCCTATAAGGAGAGGCTGGATAGACTGGGGCTATTTTCCCTGGAGCATCGGAGGCTGAGGGGTGACCCTATAGAGGTTTATAAAATCATGAGGGGCATGGACATGGTGAATAGTCTTGGCCTTTCTCCCCAGGGTGGGGAGTCCAAAACTAGAGGGGCATAGGTTTAAGGTGAGAGGGGAAGGATTTAAAAGGGACCTGACAGGCAAATTTTTCGCACAAAGAGGGTGGTGTGTGTATGGAATGAGCTGCCGGAGGAAGTGTAGGGGTGGGTACAATTACAACATTTAAAAGACAGTTGCTACATGAATAAGATAACACAGTGTGGAGCTGGATGAACACAGCAGACCAGGCAGCATCAGAGGAGCAGGAAAGCTGACGTTTCAGGTCAGGACCCTTCTTCATGAATGAGAAAGGTTTAGAGGGATATGGGCTAAACTCAGGCAAGGTATAATAGTTCAGTTTGGGAAATCTGATCGACTTGGACGAGTTGGGCCAAAGGGTACGTTCCCACGCTGGACGATTCTATGACTGTATCCACGGATTTTGGCATTCAAACATACGCCAACCTCAGAGAGCCCCTGTCATGGCACATCCACAACACGCTGTGCCCTTCAGTACAATACCTCGGGCAGGCCCAGTAATTCTCATTGTAACGCCGCAGCACGGTCACTCAGAGACACACACCCAGCTCGTGGGATTGGGCCTGGCTGGATCTCTGGGCTCCTCTCTCACTCAAAGCCTTCCATGGATACTCACAGTCTCGCCTGGCCAGCCTTGCCTCTTTTGCCCCCCACTCTCCCCCACGGCCAGAGACGCTAGGCTCACACCCCCGTCCCCTCGCCTTGCCATTTAGCACAGACGCAAAGCCACGAAGCTTATTGGTCGAAGGCCTCAGGCAGGCCAAAGCCTTCTCTCATGGATGTGGCGTCCCCTCACAGTCACTCAATGGCAGCCCTCGATACCAGGCCAGAGCCCCACCCTCGGGACATCGAAACATAGAAAATGCGCGCAGGAGTAGGCCATTCGGCCCTTCGAGCCTGCACCACCATTCAATACAATCATGGCTGATCATGTATCCCACTCTGCTTTCTCTCCAAACCCCTTAATCCCTTTAGCTGCGAATGTTCCACTGACTGTGACAACCAGGTCTCGTTAAGCCTCGCCTTTTCCTAACCTGCCGCTTTTCAGACTATAATCTGCCTTCCTGCTTTTGCCACCAAAGGGGAGAGGGTCAGGAACGTTAGGAGCAGAATGCCAGGCAGTGTGGCACTCTGTACTCTTTCTACCCAATTGTGGGCACTTTTCACTCCTGAACGGGGAGGTATTGTGGGACTTGGAAGTTGGGTGGCACAGCTACCGCTATTGGCGCAGGTGGGGATGTGCCCGAGAGGGATGGTGAGCAGGCAGTGCTGAGGTGGTTGGGTGAGGGCGAGTGAGGGAAGGCATTGTGGGCGATAGTGATGGCACCATAGAGCGTGAGCCTTGGTGGGAGGTGGGCACTATAGCAGGGCTAGAGCGAGGGTGGGCACTGACCTTGGGAGAACGGGGACGGTCACTGTCCTTCTGCCCACGATGCCAGGCATTCCTCCAGACGACTGCTGGTCTTGGGGTAAGAGAGCAGTTCCTGTCTGCGCCAATTACCCCTCCCCTCCACAAAACCCCCAGGATCAGCAGACAGTTATCAACAAAGCGGGGCATCAATGAACCCCTTATCTGCCACATGCAGGGCAGCCCCCGGGAGGTGGGGGGGGGGGGGGGGGGGCACAAACATGGGGCGGGCACAGGGGATGTCGGTCTTTCAGCAGGTCTCTGCTGAGCAAGGAGTTATTCAGGAATAGTAGGATCAGAATAAATCGGATTCAAGGAATGCCACAGGGACAGGGGAAGTGGTCAATGAGGCAGCTTTGCTAAGGTTTGGCGAGAAATCTTGCTAGGCCCACACAGAGAGAATTCCACGGCAAATAATCCTGACACAACTTGTACTTAGCAAACAAACAGTAAAATTTGGCCCAGAACGATAGGGAGAGGGACAGAGAGAGAAAGGGACTCAGAGAGAGACGCCAGCAGAGACAAGATAGGAGAGAGGGAGACAGAGACAGAGACGGTGAGAGAGTAAGAATGGGAGAAAGAGGGAGAGAAAGAGAGACAGAGAAACCAGCAGAGGGAGAGGGGTGTGGGGGTTGGAGAAAGAGAGTGTGTGAGAGAGACAGTCAGAGACGGAGAGATAGCAAGAACGGAAAAGAGAGAGGGAGAGAGATATCAGCAGAGGGAGAGACAGTGACAGTAAGAGACAGATAGTAATAGAAGGAGAGGTGGAGAGAGACAGAGATAACAACAGATGGAGAATGCAGAAAGAGAGCGTGGGGAAAGAGACAGTAAGAGACAGAGATAGCGATAGAAGGAGAGAGGGACAGAGAGAGGGAGATAAAGACAGGGTGAAAAGACAGTGCAACAGAGAGAGAGAGAGACAAAGAGATAGAAGGATAGATGGAGTGAGGGTAAGAAAGAGAGAAAATGAGAGAAATAAGGTGAGAAGAGGGAAGAGAAGCAAAAAGAGAGAAAGTGGGGGAAAGAGGGAGGGAGGGAGAGACAGAGAGAAAGAAAGAGAAGGTAAGAGACAGGGAGATGGTGGGAATGAGCGGGAGACAGAGGGTGAGAAAGAGAGACGAAGGCAGAAAGAGAAGGCGGAAGAAAGAGAGATAATGAAAGAAAAACAGCACAATGAGACAGGGTGATAGGGACGAGCGAGCTGTGAATACTGTGGCAAACAGAATGACGAAAATAAAATAGAAACAACTTTCTTAAAATCCTAAAAGAGAACAGCGAGTATTGTAGCGGCCCATGATTAAGTTGACAAGATGGCCGCTTTGGCTTTTTTAGCTAATACAAGATGGCCGACAGTTACGTACAGCAAATGTCCACAGCTAGATTTGTAGCCTCCATATAGATCTAAATTGGATAAGATGAGATTCTCTGTAGGAAGAAACATTAGAGAAGTTAACAAAAATAGAAATTGCTGGAAAAGCTCAGCAGGTCTGGCAGCGTCCGTGGACTGTGGAGTTAACATTTTGGGTTGAGCAACCCTTCCTCAGAATGCGGGCCCAAAACATTAATTTTGATTTCTCTTTACAGATGCTGCCAGACCTGCTGAGCTTTTCCAGCAACTTCTGTTTTTGTTTCTGATTTACAGCATCCACAGTTCTTTTGGTTTTTGTTTGGTTATGACCCTAGTTGTTTGTGGATTCGTTTAATGGCTTGGTAAAGTTGTAAAGTGGTTGAATTTCACCCTCATCAGTGGAATTCAAATAAATGCTTTTACTAAGAAAAGCTAATCAGCAATGGAAACTGTTTAGAGTGGAACCAGTAAAGATTTATTTCAAAACGAAACTTTAATTTACAGTTGACTTACAGCGTGTAAGTAGGAGTTGTAAACTGTAGCTGCAAGTCAGAATACAGGGACAACACACTGTGGAGCTGGAGGAACACAGCAGGCCAGGCAGCATCATGGGAGCAGGAAAGTTGAGGTTTCGGGTCGGGACCTTTCCTGGCCTGCTTGTGTTCCTCCAGCTCCACACTGTACTGTCTCTGACTCCAGCATCTGCAGCTCTTGCTAAGTCAGAATACTGTTTATTTGGTCTCTCAGGCTGGAATGAGAGAGGGGTTGTTCTCAATTTGTCAGCTGTGTCACAGGAACTTTATACGAGAGTTGTTTTTAAAGACCTTATAACAATCAGCAGGAATTAATATCCTTCCTAATCTGCCATACTAAAGTCAGTACAGAATCTGGAAGTGTTCTCAGTGAAAAGCAAGTTTTTAGGTTGTTGGAAAATAATGCAGTCCAGCTGGCAAATGTCTCAGAAGGACTAAAACTGTCAGAAGCATTGTAAGATCCCAAAGATGGATGATAGAGGTATCTAGTAGACATCATGACATTATGGGATGGCCTAGAGCTGACTAGAGAGTTGCCCATCATTGATCTTTAGTGGATTGAACGTATAAGATTGTGGGAAATATGGCTAACACTGACATCAACGTTGCATGGAAGAATTGTAACACAAAGGGTATAAAAATGTTGCATTTCACTTGGGAACTCAGAGCATCATTGACTCCGATCTGAGCTGTATTAAGAGGGCAACAGCGGCCCATCTGAAAGCCAGATTCAGAGTGGTCTCTGTTCCCTCCCACATATGCGCTAACAGAGCTCTGAATAAAGATTGCTTGCACTAAGCACCTCAGAACTTGGCTCCACTTTGCTATTTCTCCTGACGACAGCCGGGTAGGAAAAAGCTGCTCTGGACCTTGTGGTGTGCTGGTTCCGTGAAAGAGTTGGAGAAAGATTGACTCTGAAACAGCCCTATGACCGATCTGTCAGACATCGCCACGACCCTGACAGGAAAAATCTCTCAGGGTAGGTCTCTATGTTTCTTGGTGATGAAGTGCTGAGACTGTATAAAACTCTGGTCAGATCTCATTTGGAATATTGTGAGCATTTCTGGGGCCCAGTATCTAAGGAAGGATGTGCTGGCCTTGGAGGGGGTCCAGAGGAGGTTTACAACAATGATCCCGGGGATGAAGGGCTTGTCGTATGAGGGACAGTTGAGGACTCTGGGTCTGTACTCAATAGAATTTAGAGGGATGAGGGGATGGATCTG